ATATTTACTATGAGTCCTCAAATAAGTACAAAGTAGATTTTTTTTAAAGTAGCTTTTTTATTTATTTACATAATACATTTTTAAGTATAATATACTGAAAACAAAATAATCTCAGTAAAATCTACTTGAAATTATGTTTTGTTGTCAGCTTGTATTGCACTACACTTTTTTTGTGGCATTAATAATAAATAAAGTTGCCTTTTTTGTATTTGTATACACTGATTAAATTAACAATTTTATGAATTTTAATATGTACAAATTGTAGAACCAGTCAAGGACATATTTGTCTGAAAATTCTAGAACTATTCCATCAGGGATGAACCCTCATCTCAGCTCTTTTTGATTTGATTTGATCTGAACAGAACCAAAGGTAATGTCTCATTTTTGACCTTAGACAATTTAGGATATTCTTCTCAATAGAAATTCTAGCATGGTAAGGACTGCCAAGGTCAGGCCAGCTGCCTCACACACTGCAATTTCACAGTACTCACATTTTTATTAGGCAAAAATGAATGAACTATAATTATTGAGACATAGCAAAACTGAGCAGTTGCTCTGATGAACCATCTGCCAGCTCAGCCTGAATGTCAATGAAATAGAACAAGATAGAAAGACCTAGGTCCTACAGTACTGAAAAGTTTCCTGAAGGAAAAATGAGGGTGCTAACATTTTCAACTCATTGCGTGAAATCCTCTTGTCTCAGTTGCCCTCAAGTGTCTTCGCTCCCCTGAGGACACAAGAGATGCACAAGAGATCACCGACTGCTGAATGTTTCGTATTGTAGCTACTTTGTTCATTGCACATATATTTTTAGACTGTTCCTTGTGTGGTTTTATTTGACTATTAATATACTGTAAGCTTGGTCTGACTAGCTTAATCATGGATCTAGCCAGGAATTAAATTTATTTCGTTCTAGCAGATGCTTTCTTAGTAAAGCATGCTCCTTTAATTCCAATTTAAAAGTAAAATGAAGTCCAAAGTGCTGACAGCAATAAAGCACCAGGTAAGAATCAACTGTTGTACTGCATTAACTGATTATGACCAAATGTATTTCTGTAGTTTTTAATGTCCTCGTCTGCTAAACAGAACAAGGAATTAAGGGGGATTGAAGAGGGATTAGAATTCAGAGAGTAAGTTGCACTGCACTGAGATAAATGTGTTGAAGTTGACATGATAGTTAGTTAAATGTCTTTTCTAGTCGATGGAGATTAAGGTGTGCTGTGTGCTAATGTCATTTGTGGATTTCTTCGATATGTTGGGATGTACTTTAGGTGTCTTGTTATTTAAAATGCTCCTATCACATTTTTCTTGATCTTTTGAGATGAAAGAGTTCACTATGCAAACATACTGTTACTTTCAGAACACAGAACTTCCTTGTCAGTGAAAAGGCATTTATTGAAAGCTGAAAAAAATGTCTCTGTAATTCACAACTTTTTGATGTCAGACAGATAGATCTGAAATCATGCAAATCTGTTGGAACACATGGCCAGCCACAGTGTTCACAAATGTCTGTCCAGTCAGGGTGAGGTAGCAGGTAGTAAGATAGAGTATATTATTCTCAAACGCCAGACAATCTGATAAGAGTTTAATGAAGGAAAGTCTGTCAAACCTTGTGCTTTTGACTGTGGCACCTGCCACTCTGCATATCCTTCTGAAGAATCCCAGCTTTAGGAAAGAG